CAGTTCAATTATACTCATTTGATTGACATGTGTTCTCTTATTCAATCAATCCCACTAATTTAGGATGCAATTGATTTTATTCTTTGGTTAATTAATTCGTGTGGTAATCGATTTATGAAAAAATGGTGTTTACTTCTATGTTTAAATTCAATTTACTGATATAGTTTCATTTTTAGGTTCAATTTTATTCTACTGTTAACTTCATTTTATTTTAAATTCAATTTACTGAAAATTTTTACTTCAGATTTATTTCAAGAGAACAAGCTTGAAGTCATTCTTCAGAGTTAGCTCACCCAAACTCTGAAGTTTGTTTTTTCAGACACAACTCACCCGAACTCTGAAGTCTGAACTCTGAAGTCTTCTTTTTCAGACTTAGAAGCCTGAACTCTGAAGTCTTTTTTTAGAATTAGAAAAAGAAATATGAAGTCTTCTTTTTCAGACTTAGAAGTCTGAACTCTGGTGTCTTCTATAATTTTGAAGAGTACAAGTCTGAATAGTCATTTTTCAGAGTTAGTTCACCTGAATTCTGAAGTCTTCTTTTTCAGATTTAGCTCACCCGAACTCTGAAGTCTTTTTTTAAGACTTAGAAGTCTGAACTCTAATTTAATGGGATTGATTTTATATTTCAGAGTTATTTCAAGAGCACAAATCAGAAGAGTCATTCTTCAGAGTTTTATTTCAGTTATTTCCAGAGGACCAGTCTGAAGAGTCATTCTTCAGAGTTAGCTCACCCAAACTATGTAGTCTTCTTTTTCAGACGGAGCACCATGCAAAGCCTCTGTATAGTAAATGCAGAGTTTGTGGCTTGCTTATACAGAGCTCTAAAGTCTGAAGAGTTTTACTTCAGAGTAATTTAAAGAGTACAAGTCTTGTAACAAACTTATCTAGACTTTAAAGATAAGTCTTTAAGACTTATACTTAGTCTTATAAACCAGAGCCCCTCTGGTTGGTTTGGCTTCTAGATGGCGTTGCTTCTGGTTGTTTATTTGAACCTTGAAAAAATATTTCAATCAATCATAAAGAAACCAGAAGGTCTCTAGTTGATCTTCATGTTTAACCAGAGGGTCTCTGGTTGTAATTGACACTTAAATTCTTTATTTAACATTTTTTTACCCAGAGGCTCTGAATAGAAGAACCACAGGTTTTGAGGGGCTCTAGTTAACAAGAGGGTCTTTGGTTGGTCTTGCTTTTGGGTTGGCCTTGCTTTTGGGTTGGCCTTGCTTTTGGTTGGTAAGTCCATAGGGGCTCTGGTCCTTAAGAACCAGAGGAGCTATGGTTGGTCTTGCTTTGTATGATGCAAACTTTACCATGGGATCTTTTTCAAAGATATTGGGTATTAAAATAACCCTGAACTCAAGGTCTTCAGACTTCATCTTCACATTTGACACAGGCGTTCTTCTAAGTTTAAATTCAATATACAAATATAGTTTCATTTCTAAATTCAATTTTATTCTAATGTTAACTTCATTTTAACTAATTATTGATATAGTTTCATTTCTAAATTCAAGTCTGAAGAGTCATTCTTCAAAATTATTTTTCAGAGTTATACTTCAGAGTTATTTTAATAGTACAAGTTTAAAATCATTTTCAGAGTTATACTTTAGAGTTATTTCAAAAGTACAAGTCTGAAGTTATTATTCAGAATTATACTTCAAAGTTATTTCAAGAGTACAAGTCTGAAGAGTCATTCTAAAGAGTTAGCTCACCCGAACTCTGAAGTCTGCTTTTTCAGATATAGCTCACCCGAACTCTGGAGTCTGAACTCTAAAGTCTTCTTTTTCATACTTAGAAGTCTGAACTCTGAAGTTTTTTTTAGCCTTAGAAAAAGAAGTTTGAAGTCTTGTTTTTCAGACTTAGAAGTCTGAACTCTGAATTCTTCTACAAGTCTAAAGAGTCATTATTCAGAGTTAGCTCACCCGAATTCTGAAGTTTTCTTTTTCAGACTTATCTCACCCGAACTCTGAAATCTTTTTTTTTTAGACTTAAAAGTCTAAACTCTGATTTAGTGGGATTGATTTTATACTTCAGAGTTATTTCAAGAGTACAAGTCTGAAGAGTCATTTTTCAGAGTTTTACTTCAGAGTTATTTCCAGAGTACAAGTCTGAATAGTCATTTTTCAGAGTTAGCTCACACAAATTCTAAAGTCTTCTTTTCCAGACGTATGTAGAGCTCTGAAGTCTGAAGAGTTTTACTTCAGAATTATTTCAAGAGTATAGTTCTGAAGATTCATTCTAAATTTACTTCTAAGTTTAAATTCAATTTACTGTAGTTTCAGTTCTAAATCTAATTTTATTCTAAGGTTAACTTTATTTTAACTAATTATTGATATAATTTCATTTCAAAATTCAAGTTTGAAGAGTCAACTTTCAGAGTTATTTTAAGAATACAAGTCTAAAGTAGCATCGTACTTTCGATGATCATTCATATCTGTAAGATAAGTTCCTGACATGATATAATTTTTTTAAATTACCTTATGTAATACACGGTATCGAATCTATATATATATATATATATATATATATATATAGAGAGAGAGAGAGAGAGAGAGGAGTGATCATATGAAAACCGCCCTCATTTGTGTAAACCGTGCAAACCACCTTCATCTGTCGATTTCATTGTTTAATCTTATGAAATTTTTTCATGAAATTGTTTAATCTTG